GAGTGACCGCTTGGGTATACCAGACGTTGTAATCTTGGATGGATAATAGCTCGGTATGTGAAATCGGATCGCCGATTGCCAAGATTGTGCAGCTCCAGCCCAGATGTACCAGCAATACACTATTTTCGGTCTGATCTGGCTCTTTTAGAAGTAAAGCACGACAGCGCGATTGTTACTCGCCAGTTCTTACCCCATCGAACCATGCTAGTAAATTAAGAGGAATGACCAACTGCCAGATTCTGTTTATCTCAAGTTTTGGTGGTGGGAAACCCGTATTAATCTCATTGGTGTCAGCAGGATGGCCATTAACAACGACCTTCATGGAGCTACCCAACTTCATCATCGAGAAGATCCTACCAGGAATGCCATAACTGGTGTGTTTGTGCAGCAGTCTTCTATGTTGCATCTTTTCAAAAGCCTTCAAGATATCCAAAGCGATTGCAATGTTGATGAATTTTGTTATCATTCGCTTCAATGTTTCTATATGAAATGACAGTTAAACATCTCCATTGGACACTGAGGAGCGAAATCCATACTGTTTGTCATTCAAAGGATTTTACTTTTGAATTGATTAACAAGCCTCCTGATAACGATAGCTTCAAATGTTTGCTGATGCCACTGAGAAAACTGACAAACCGATATTCCGATGGGGATGATCGCTCACATGGATTCCTTTAAATTTGCCCATACATATATAAAGCTTGGAAATATTTCTTCTTCCGGCAAAATTGTCCCAATTTTGTCAAGATTTGTTATATCGCTGGGCTAAGGTTCTTAACAACTACTAACAAATTTTATCCAAGTCAGTAGCCTTCGTAGCGCCAAGGATTTTATAAGACAGGGAACTTCTTGGATCGAGACAGAGGTATCGCAATATTTTTTCTTGAGAGTGGGAAGATATAAGATTGGTCGTGTCGTCTAGCGTGGCGTTAAATTCAAAATTCATTGCAAGATCTTAACATTATCTGACGCGGATGAGATGATCTTAATGTCGTTAAAAGGCAATGGTGGTTTGCATGAGAATCTTATTTGAAATTTCCAGAACTGGTGGGCGCCAAATTCATTGATTTAAACTCTGACTTGAGGCTTGTGCATAGCTGAATTAGAATTTTCCAACAACCTTTTGTAATAATTCTAACCAGTTCTGAAAACTACGTTTTCTCTTATATATAGTGTATTGCTGGTGCATCTGCACTGGAGCTGCCCTCTAATAAAGGTATAGTGGTCACGTTGAGCTAAGGCCGCAGCAGAATTGGGCGTGAACCGAGGTCAGATATTCGGCCATTGCTGTTTCTCTTTGTAGGGAGGAAACGTTCCTTACCCGAAATACATCATTCGGAAGCTCTATTTCTGAAACATGATAAGAAAGGAGCCTTGAAAATTTATGACCTTAAGCTATCCCATTCAGCATTGGTTTATAGGAAGGTTATCATGTGGGATGGGATAATATATCTTGCGAAAGTTACTCTCAACATTAATAAGCCCTCCTACTAATCCTCCTTCTCCTTGTTGTTGTTGTTGTTGTTGGTATACTACTACTACTAATACTATTTCTTCTTCATCAACGTGCTATATCCGTTGGGGCACTTACCAATGTTTTTTTTTTTTTACTATCTCACCCACTCTTTGCGGAGCCATCAATTTACACATGCTCATTAGGCAAGCTACCCGAGGTATCCCTGCTACATCCGATAGGTCCTGTGAGTGTCAACTTTTCCGAGTTTTCCTTTCTCATTATGTGTCTCAGAAATTAGAATGCTCGTTTTCTGATTCGAAGTGACCGAGTTTTATATCATAATAAAATCTATTTTGAAATATGAAATTAAAATATTTTCTTAAAACTCTGAGACGAATCAATATAAATTATTCCATCGGTTTTCCACGGCTAATATTCTTATTCTTGTTGGTGATATGACGTCATTCCACCTGATGCAATCTCTAGTTTCTCATCTCTCGAAGATTTCAAAGTTCTCAACATTAAAAAGGCACTCATGGATCTCGCAAACTTGCCTCTACAAAGTAGATTCTTCTTAAGTTTCTCTTTGGTTAGTCTTAATAAAATTCATTGCGTAGATTAAGCTTTGTTTTTATATAGTCTAGTGTCAATAGGACCAATATTCAAAGTTTAAATATATAAAGGAGTATTATCTTTTTTATTTCAAGATTTCAGGAGTTGATGTATGCTATCCCATTTGAAACATCATAAGTGCAGCGTTTTGGGTTAATATTAACAGTTTTGATTGATTGTTCTCCATTTTTAAAACAGGAATAAATATGCAAGGGAATATTGTATTAACAATGTTTAGTGAGAATAACAATAAATTTTTCACATAGCGGTCCTACTATTTAATCTATAGCTATGGGGAAGAGATGAATATATACGTGTCCCAAGGATATTTGTGTATAACTTCATGCAAGGAACACGACTGGAATTTCTCATTCCTGGCAGCGATTCCTTAAACAACCGTACCTCCCTTACAAGAACCGATTTGGTGCAAATGGCTTAAAAAAAGAATTATGAAGGAAAATCTGACACTCCGTTCTTTTCCCACGTTAGAATTTATATAAATACACCCTATTAGAGTTTACAATGGGCGGGACAACCTTTTAGAGTTATAAATGCCTAGGCGTTAGCTGTGGGAGAAAAGTTAAAATAAATGTTCTCTCGCCTACTTTAACCACTGTCAGTTCTCGAGGAATGCTACAGACAAGTCAGTTGTGTAAAGATGACTGGCAGTGGCACTTTTGCCTTATGTGCATATGCAAAATATACATTGTTATCAAGCGATAGGAATGTAATGCAGATTATAACCTCATAATCCATTGATAAAAATATCAACCTTGCAAACAAGACTGCCCCCCGCCTGTATGTTATGGTGACACGACTAAACTGGATGACTCATCAGACTTAAATTATATCACCGGATTTATTTAACTTTAACTCTATGAGAACCACTAAACCTATCAGGATTTATTACAGGTGGACACAGTCTTTTAAATAAATGCATGGCAAATTCTCTATGTCCGTGTGTCTGAAACCCGTCTCACTCGGGACACATTTGCCCTATATGGGCAAATTATACCTTTTTGAAATCAGGAGGAATCGGGAATGAAAATATGTCCTTCATCTTGTGCTTGAAAGTCTAGCACTAGAATTTGTGTCCGGAGGAGGAGGGAATAGTTAAAAAGTCAAACTTTAAAATAACTGAAAAAAATGAGTGATTTTAAGTTTTTAATTTATATTGAGTTTAAAGTAACATAGAACTTCGTCAATTTAAAAACGAATGTTTTAAATTCAGTTTCAAATATCTCCAATTTTTTGTAAATTCAGTTTTAGTTTTTGAAAATGCCAGTGAGTCAGAGTTAAAGTGAGAGGTTTTGTAACTTGAGATTTTGGAGGTCCGCGAAATTTGTGATTTTAAAGACTAAACTTAGTTGAATTTCGGCCTAAAAAAGAAGTTTCGGGACAAATCGGTCTTTTGGCCGGAATTGGACATATCGCCCGAATCAGAGGTAATTTCCATGGAGTGAATTCAGAAATTCAAAGTTATTTATTCAAAATTATCATTGGTGTTTTCTAAGCTATAAGGTCATTGTATTTTAAGCCAGAATATCAGTTAGCTAATTCGCAAGAGCTAGCTTAAAAGTCCGTATTTCGTGTGGATATTTAAGCTAGTAATAACAAGATGCGCAAAAGAAAAAAATGCAGGAATAGATATTAAATGAAAGCAGGAAGAAAGGACTAATTATTCATTGTAAGTAAACATTGTATGATCATTAACAAGAAGGACCATCCAAAATGTTTACTACGAACTGAAAACATCAGAGTCACGCAAATAACCCTCTGTAGTAACTGACAGCAAACGTTACACTTTTGGTGCATAGGAATAGTGAAACATGTCTTCCTAAATCTAAACAAAGTATTAAGGAACCGGTCAATTTCTTTAGAAGAAATAAAATTAGTACTCAATTCTAATATCAGTTCTCCTATATTGCAATGAATGAAGGGGAGATTTGATGCAATGGATGTGTGGTTATACAGAAGATTGTTCATAATAGAAATAGCGCGGCATATGGGTAAAGAAGAATTTTTAAAGGGGATAAGAAAGAAACGTCCACTTGTGCTTAGGATCAGAAACAGACAGCTGAAAACTGTTGGTTACAAACATGGGGGGCGGTGGAAAGCTTGGATAAATTGACAAAGTTATGGAAAATCAAAAGCAAAAGAGAAACACCCCATCTATTTTAACGCAATGGCATAAGTAAAGGCATAACAAGGCCTGGGAAGAATAGTAAAGAAACAACGACTGAATCAAGCTACAAAAGATAGGACGATGTGGAGAGTCATTATAACCCGCCACAGAAGTAAGATGGGCACTTCGACGCGATGTAATGGCTAGCAAGCTTGTCTTTTCAAATCAATGAAGACTGATTATTAAGTTCGATCCTTACTAGCTGCACCATACTTTCAGACTTGTACCACATCTAAGGTACACTTAGAAAATCGTCATAAATAAGTGAGATATTGCACAGGCAGCTTACGTTAAAATTTAACTACAGATTTAAGTCAGTCAGTTATGCGCCATGCGTGATACACACGTAGGCGATCATGTATCTTGCGATACATGACTGACGAGGCAGATTTTTATTTCCCGCAGTAGGCTGCCACTTCTTTCTGCGGTTGACCAGTTGCCATCCAAGGCTCTAGAACCCGGTCTGTCCTGCTATTTATCCATAGCTGGTAGGAGAAGATGAGGATTCATGCCTTTTACATCGGTATTAGCACGTAAGGGAATATAATAGATTTGACTGTAATTCGAACTCAGCTCTCCGATTCCTCAATACGAGCCTCTATCCATTAGTCCATCGTATGGTATCGAAGCGCTGCCTGATAAGTGATTGCAAATACTAGTAAATATATATTTAATTAAAATCTATTTATATTTTATTTTTTTCGAGAATACATTTGATAAAAAAAAAACAGGCTACCTGTTACAAGACATTGAAACAACGGTTTCCTTACGGTCACCGAAGTTAAACAATGTCGAGCCTGGTTAGCACTTAGATGGGTGACATCTTGGGAATACCTAGTGCTTTCAACGTAAATGTGCGAATGGTGTAATAGATAAGAATTTTTAATCAGAGAGCCAGGTTCCAATTCCTTTTGGTCTCGTTAAATTACCTTACTCGTAAATATCCTCGGGAAAGCTATGCATCTATCCATTCTCCCTCTCAGCTATGGGCTAATTAGTAAGACGTCTATCTCTAAATAGTTATTATCTCAAAAAAGAAAATTCTTAGAGAATGAAATATTTTCTGGTTTTAGATAAACTGGAAAGTGTTGATAAGCCGTAAAAAACGAATTAACCAATAAACAAAAACGGAATTTGTTCATGCCTCAATAAGTAAATTGCTCATAAAAATCTTCCATTGCACCATAATTTATGCCAATTTTAAGCCTATTTGAAGAATATGAATATTACTGAAACGGAAAGTTCGTTTCTCTATAGAATACACTTACGAGTACATTAGTTTTACCATTTTTCAACTTAGGATGTCATTATCAACTCCTCACGAAAGTATTTCAAGTTGAGGAATTTCTATATTTATTTTAACCATGTATTATTTAAAAGGATAATTAGAACCAGTATGTATTCCAGTTTGAAATTGTTTTCTCGTAAAAAAAAGTTTATTTTCTTCTTTTTTTTTTTCCTTTCCTTCTCTCGTTCTTTGTTTAATCGTTCCCTTGACCTCATTTGGGGACGAAATAATGTTTTCTTTTCCATGTACTGTTTGCATCTAACAAATGCATTTTTCTATTATATGTTTTTAAAATGTAGCTTTATTCATTAAACCAAACACTAGCTGAGAAAATAAATTCAATGCTATGTTCATTTGATTTGTCATTCTTGTTACTTTGACAACAGTTGCAAAATAAAAAGCAATAAAATCGACTTCCAATATTTTTCTCTACTTCTCTTCTGGTATCCACACTTATGGCGCATTTTACAGAACAATTACTTTCTTATTGGCCACTTACCCTGATTATAAGCTGCAATATTGTCTTACTCAAATAATTTTCTAGCATCGTAAATTCCATCTTAACAGCAGTTCTACTCAAACTATGTACAGATGTATGTTCTAGTTCGACAAGGTATTACTTGTGATATTTCATCATTATGAATATGAACAATTTACATTCCCTATCCAGTGAACTTAAACGTGAAAAATGAAGACAGAAGAATTACCTATTAATGCATTTTAGAATTCTTGTAAAGAAGACTCTATCCAACTGACATATTAAAAAAAACAAAAACAAAAAAAAACAGGAAAAATTCGAGCTGTTATCCGCAACTTCACTGCCACATTGACAACATTTCAGCCGTTGTATGCTTCGGCCTTCTTCAGGTGATTGGAATTTCGAACCGAGCCCTTTATTTCGTCCACCGGTGTAGATTCTTCTGGTTCCACGTGGATAAAGGCGTTAGTTAGCTCCCGTGAATAAACCACACAGAGTTGGGAGTTCAATAACAGGCTACATCAATGGTGAACGGAAACACTTGGAGAGTTGAGTTAAAGGGAAATAACTGAAACATCCGGAAGAGGCATGTCACGTGGAACTATAGCAATGTATACCGGTGAACGAAATAAAGCGTTCACTTCGAAATTCCAGTTTCCTGAAGAAGGCCAGAGACGTTGTGAATATGGCAATGAAGTTGAGGATAATATTAATGAATAATGTAAAACATATAAATAATCCTAATACCTCATCGCAGAGACATAGACAGATAAGATAAATGTCACTTAAAAAAACAACTCATGACTATATTTATTTTATATATTGTGATGTAATTTCTATTTGACTGGAGTAATATCAATCTCGCTTGCAAGCGATACTATAGCATGAGCACTATGTTAAACCTTTTCGAAAATGTCGGTGTAGATGATCTGTTATCCTTAATAAAAATGGGTATATACCCCTAAATATGAGGATCTGGATAGACATTTGCTTTTTCAGTATCATTAGTGCTCTCCCCACGCTCTCCCTCTCTCTCTCTCTCTCTCTATCTATCTATCTGTCTGTCTAGATATACTAATATGCACACACACACACACACACACACACACACACACACACACACACACACACACACACACACAGGGGTTGAACAAAATACTTGTAACAGTTGCAAAATCCACTTCTATTATATTAAGAACTGTAACTAAAACTTCGTAATTGTATGTTATATCTATTGCAAATACGTTTATTTATCTAATTTACTGTCTTTGTCTTATTTATTTTTAGAATTTAGTAAAATTTAAGCTAAATGCGTGACTTCTCCGAATTCGAAAATGTGCAAATTAGTCTCGATCACTAAGGTTGCTGAACTGTTTGGTTTTACAAGAGCTAGAATATCAAGAACACTGATGCAATTCGAGAAACAAGGCAAGACCTCTAGCAACCGTAGCAATTCGGGCCAGACTTAACAAACTTACTGACAGGAATTGACGTGCATTGAAACACAATGTGGCAAAAATCATCGGCCAAATGCGGCCAAAATGACTGCTGAGTTGAATAACCATCTGAATAGTTCAGTTTCTACTAAAACTGTTCAGCGTGAGCTGCAAAATGCTGCATATCATGGAAGAGCCGCTGTGAGGAAACCTCTTCTCTCCCCTCACAACATTCAAAAGAGGTTGAAATGGTGCAGAGATCACAATGCCTGGTCTGCAGACCAATGGAAGCGAGTTATATTCTCAAACATGTCCAGTTTTTCTCTCTTCCCAACTTCAGAGCGTGTTTATGTGTGGAGGCAGCACAAACTGACTGCCTTCTTCCGACAGCGAAGCATAGAGGTGGATCAGTGATAGTTTGGGCCGCGATATGATGTAAATGTCTCAGTCCAGTAGTTGCCCTGCATGGTAGAATCAACAGTAAAGATTACCTGAACATTTTAGGAGATCATGTTTATCCAATGGCCAAGACTTTATAACCTGATGGTGACTGCATCTTCCAAGACGATAATGCTCCAATGCATACCGCTCGAGTGGTTAAGAATTGGTATGAAGAGAATGAAATTGAGCTAGAACACATAGAGTGGCCTCCCCAATTTCAGCATATCAATATTGAACATTTGTGGGGTTTTTAAGAGCAACAGGTTAGGGGCTGCTATTCTCCACCGTCGTGTCGTAAAGAGCTGGAGAAGGTTTTAATGGAAGAATAACTGAAAATTCCTCTGGATGAAGTCAGGAAACTATATGATTCCATTCCTAGACGTATTAAAGCTGTCAACCCATATATATATATATATATATATATATATATATATATATATATATATATATATATATATATATATACTAGCAAAATGGTCCGGCTTTGCCGTGCTTGATTCAAAAATCGTACGACTCATACAACAATTGCTATCACTTGACTTAAAATATTTTTGCCCTTCCTTGCCTTTTAATGAGTGCCCCTTTCCGTGCTGATGTTGCTACATGTCTTACTTCTTGCACATCTCACGCTGCGAATTTTTTCTAGGGTCTATAATAAACATTAATTCTGTTACGAAAAATGAACTAAACAAAATAAACACAAAACGATCATATTTTAAAAAAAGGACTCGTAACTGGAAAAACTGAATAAAAAAAGAATGTAAACAACAAATACTTTTTCACACCCAACCCAGTTCTGCGGAATCAGAAACAACGTTGTTTTAAGCAAACGAATGAGCCAATTGGAGTAAAGTGCCATGCAGATTTAAATTTTTCCCACTTGTGACGAATGCAGGTATCGATTGTTTTTTGCATGCTAGCATGCTAGTTAACATTCGTGTCAGTCAGGTGTTGGCTCTCACGCTGGCCAATAGAATCTTCCTGCCTATTCGTTGCAGCACGCTATAGGCTCTCACTCTGGCCAGTACAAAATGGCCGCAAACTACATGAAAACTGCCGTAGAAGCATGAAAAATCGATTATTTCCACTATTGATGGGAGTTGGGAAATGCAAGGTCGGTCTTGGCCTTCATGCTAACTTGGAGCATGTGCATGTAAATTTTGGTGCAAATCTGTAGAAAATTGCGCCGTGCATTCGTTACACACACACACACACTACACAAACACACACATCCTGCCTTTTATATATATATATATATATATATATATATATATATATATATATGACCAAAAATACATAGAAATTTAACTGATGTTATTCCATGCAGGAATAATAATAGTAATGATAACATGACCACTTTTTACCTCATAAGAATAATATTAATATTCATTAGCCGAGCATATCGAGCTAATGTCGGATTAAACTTATAAAATCTTTTTCTTAAAACAAGAGTTATTGGACATTTCCAATGTCCAATAACTCTTATTCTTTACTCTAGAAATAAGCGTATTTTCCTTCCTAACCTTTTGTCTGAAGTAGTGCGGAACGTCAACATCTTGATTATGCCATTATATTCTCTTCATGCTCTATATATTTTAATTGTTGCTATTGCTGGAAGTTTTCAAGTGAAAGAAGTGTTAACATTAAACATGTCATGCAAGAAAGACTCACATTAAAATATTTACACATTATGATTTTTTTTTATTTCTCCAAGTCAGATGTATACATTTGATCATGGATTACGATAAAGGAAAAACAAATCATAGATTAAAATAAAAACAATTAACAAAGCAAAAGAGGTAGTAACTAAGACATTGAATTACCCCAAAACACAGAAATATCAAGAAACCTGCTAAGCGCAACTAAACACATTTTTTTAAATAAAGACATAATTATCAATAAATAAAGACAATAATTATCAAATATTCTCCTGAACTAAAATACATTACTAATCATAAAAAAGTATGAGAATGTGGCAAAAATGTTTACGAGTGTGGAGTTTTTTCATTTAGGACTAATTTTTGTTGCGAATAAACATGCGCACGAAGGATGCTGGGAATTTTGTATTTTCATTATATTTGGTGGTGGGGCGTCATATCAGCAGACCGATGACATTTAGATTTTTCCTTTTATTTCCATTACATTTGTTTTTAGATATAACACACTATACCACACTGATAAAAGAATATCTGCGAGAAA